GGCCCGTGGCCAGCGAGCACGCCCTTAAGAAGGGCTACTCAAAGGACCACCAGCTGACCAACTTGTTAGGTTGGTTTTGGTGTTGGGTTGCTTCTGTTAGACTTAACCTGGTTTTCGTGAGAGTCGCCAGCAAGGCAAACCTGTCAGACCAAGTCTCCCGAGGCGACTGGGAGATCAGTGACTCGTTAGGATGCCTCCCCTCGACCCAGTCTTCGACAGCATTTGGGACCTCTTGTTCGCGTTGACTGAGACCCCGTTGACCCTACAAAAGACTTGTTCGGTGAGCTGGTCAACCTCTTGGCGTTGCCTCCGGCTGCCCAGTAAGCGCGAGTGAGTGGTCGTTCCGCGCTTGAGTGGAAGTTCTGCGGACCGACCAGTTCGCCTTTTAGAGGCTTGAGCAGGTTGGTTCGAGACCAGTTAGTTCGGACCACACCACTCCGCGGGTATTGGAAAAGAACCGAACTTTGTTCGTGCGCACTTTCACTAAGCCTAGAACTTGTCAGACAGTGCACGTGTGCACACAGTGACAAGTTGAGGCGTGTGGAAGTCTTTTGTGTTCTCCTGTCAGATAGCCTGTTAGATAGCGTGTCAGATGCGAACCGCAGCAGCTGTGTGTTAGCTCAAAGTGCTGCCCTTTTCAGCTTTCCTTCCACACCCGCCCGGAGGAAGTTCTGCGGACCGACCAGTTCGCCTTTTAGAGGCTTGAGCAGGTTGGTTCGAGACCAGTTAGTTCGGACCACACCACTCCACGGGTAGTGGAAAAGAACCGAACGATGTTCGTGCGCACTTTCACTTGGCCTAGAACTTGTCTGGCATATCCTAAACACGCCCCATCATTCGGATCACATTCCTTAAACCCGCTCCCTCGCTAGGCGTTCTTGACTCTTCTTGCATTTAAACATTCATCACATATCTTAACTAACGCCCCACCCTCGTTTGGCGAGCCCGGTTGATCCCAGTTCTTAAACCCGCCCCCTCATGTGCCGATCCGGCTTCATCACATATCTTCGACACGCCCCTTCATTTGACAATCCGCATTCATCACATATCTTGCGATGGCTTGTGGGTTCACGACCGCTTAGGCCATATCTACAAACAATACCGCGACCTCTGCCTGCCTGGAGTAGTTGTGCCCCTCACCAGACGTTTCATCTTTGACGCCCGTAAGCGGCTTCATGCAGGCCATGTTGGACATCCCGATAGGGCTGACAGTAGAGTTGTTTTGGTTGCTTTCACTACCTTAAACGCTTCCCAACTTGATTTGGTGCCTATGGGGTTTCCGTTGCCCAGCAAAGCAGATCCCCATAGTCAAATGTCTATGAACGACTTTGCCAAGCGACTTCGGCAGGTATCAATCTCTGCATGAGGCCTTTGCATTGCCTCGCCACATCAGCGATGAGCACGAAGTGGTGGAAGTTCTCGACATTCAGGTTTGATGCCAGGTCGCGGGGTCACGTGTATAACACACGTGTCATCCCGTGAAGCTTCGTGATCATTCCTCTGTCTGTCTTGCCCTATCTGCTCTGTCTTGTTCTTTTCCCCGTCGTTCTGCTTGCTTACCTTTCGTCACCCTCCCGATGCTCCCTGGCCCGCCCGTTTCCTGCGACTCCTTGCCTTCTCATCTGCACTGTTTCCTATGCTGGACTGGCCTTGCCTTTGAATTCGTTTCCTTTGCTGGACTGTTGCATGCCCTTGCTGATTGTTTGCAGGACTGGTTAATGGTGCGTTGGATGATGCGTGAAGGGTGATGCAATGCACTGTCGTGTCCTGTGCTAGGGGAGGGAGGGGTCGGACCTACGGCCATACTTCATTATGTTTTATCCTTGTTAGGTGCCCACCCTAATCAAACCATCAGCCTGCGCCTCTGCTGAAGCCATGTAAGTTCCCGTCGTGTTCTGCCCGTCGTACATCCTCTGGTTCAGTCTCGACCATCTTCCTGGCTATTGGTGATTATCTTCAGGTGGTTTTTCCTTTCCAGATGCTTTTATGGTGGGCTGCAAACACAGATGCGAGCTGCTCGGCCCTCGCGTGGAATCACTGACCCTTTTGGGACCGAGTTCCAGCAGCCTTGCCAGGGGCATCCTTCGCAACGCCTGTGAGCCAAGGCTGTCTGTATCTTCCTGAAGAGACTGTACCGAGGCGTCCTTGAGTAACGCCATGTACGCGTGCCTTGAAACAGTCGCTATGATCCAGATGGAGTGATTCATGTCAAGATACTGAACCACGGGTGATGACCGACCTTCTGGTTGGTGCATGAAGAGCTTCAGCAGGCGCTTGTGTTGAGACCTGGCCTCTGGCGCCTGGGTGGTCAAGGGCCGAAGCTGCGTCAATGGAGTCGGCACAACGACGTTTCAATTGACTATGCTTATGCGGGGGCATGATGTTCTGCACAACTCCTACTCAGCTTTCGATGTGGAGTATGTGCTGATGAGGGCGAATCTTCGACAGCTGCGCCCTGGATCGGAAGCTGCTTCGGTGTCAGCCTGATGTGCTCTGCGGAACCGAGTTTCAGCCGGGTACCTAGATCCGTTGCTCTGCCGAGAAGTATTGAGTTCAAAGCAGCCGCTCCTGTTTCACGCTTTCAAGCCGAAATCTAGATCCTTGCTTGTTTCTTTGTTGCACCCTCGTCCTAGTTGTTGGGGCCCAATGTGGTCGAAACACTTGTCGCAAGGCTCTTTGCTGTGGATCTGTTGCTTGTTAGGTCAGTACTGTACGTGTAGCCCTTTTGACAGTTGGATTTGACGCCCTGGTATGCTCGTTTTCCAGCCTCGTCTGTAAAGATGCCTACCATGACAGATTTCTGCGGCATGCCATCTGTGCGGGTTCTTGGTCATGCAGTGTCTCGGGCTTGCTTCCGGGATGACATGCTGTGTCTTGCTTCGCGCCGACTTCGCACCGTGGGACCTCGCTTGGCTTGTCCGAGTTGTGAGAGCGTAAATACACCCCCTCCTTTGTCGGCCCAGGTGTCTTAAACTTGTTCCATGCTTGGGCCAGCGATCCCGATTCATCACATATCTTACACACGTTTTTTTGTTTAGGTGCCTAGATATCTCAAGTTCGGCACCTCATTGGGCGATATGCCGATTCACTACACATCTCAAAGAGATGCCGATTCGTCACATCTCTCAAACACTCCCCCTCATTAGGCGATCCCGATTCACAAATCTTAAGCACGCCCCCTCCTTGTGCGAGCCCGAATCATCACGCAGCTTCGACACGCGCCCTCATGAGGCGATCCCGATCGATCAGAATTTCTAAATCCGCCTCCTCATTTGGCGATCTATTTAGCTTGATCGCCGATCTAAAGCATCACATCGTCCCCTTCTTTGGTGAGCCCGGTTCATCACATTCTTCGAGCACTCCTTTTAGGCGATCCCGGTTGATCATATAAACACGCCCCTTCATTTGGTCACCCGGGTTGATCATAAATCTTATATAGTCACCATGTCTGGAGCATGCTCTTCACTAGGCGATTTCGGTTGATCACGTTTCTGAAACCCGCCCTCGTTTGGCGATCCAAGAAGCGGAAAAGCAAAGAAGCAGAAAAGCGGAAGCAGAAAAACAAAAGCAAAGTAAGAACAAGCAGAAAACGACAAGCAAAAACAGGCAGAAGGCAGAAAGAACAGCGGAAAAACAAAAAAACGGAGGAACAGAAAGCGATGCAGACAAGCACAAAAACCAAAAAGCACAGAAGCAGAAAAGCGGAACAGCGGAAAAGCACAAACAAACTGAAAACAACAAGCAAGCAACAGCAACAGGTAGACCGAGAAAACACAGGCAAAGCGTAGAACGCCACAAAACCAACAAAAATAAAACAAGTCCTAAAACCGGCCTGCAAAAGTCCCGGTTCGGATGCAACATAACTTTGGGCACATCCCATGTTGCTTTTGCAGCGCTATGTCTAGCCGGTGGTGCGCTGCACCCGGGTCGCATAAAAAGAATCGGTTTAACTTCCTTTGCTGATATCCGCTTCCTGCAGTGGCCGTTTCCACCTTTTGACGGCTCCGTTCTCGGATAATAAAACAGATGTAGTTGCCCTCTTGACCGATAGCCCGATTGCGCCGTACTCCGCTATGATATTTGCGGTGCCAGGTCTCGTCAAGCTTCTCCGTGCGACACGGCTACGGGCTTGAGTTTTGGTTCTATGCCCCCGTTGAAACAATTGAAACGGCTAGCTGCAATTCAATGGCTTCTATGCACGTACTACGTATCTGTCAGCCTTTGTCACTCTACTGCCGTGTGCTTGGCCACTGCGTTGTTCTGGATCGCAGACACAGTCTGTTGCATTGGCATTTGGCACAGAGCCTCGTATGCCCTGCGAAGTGTTCCTGCCTTAGGAGGCTATGTCGTGCTTGTAGAACCTCAGGAGAGGAGGGCAGCAAGGTAGCATCGGGAATAGGCAGATTGGCTCTCCGAGAGCTTGCCGCCGGCGCCACAGCCGTTGTTTCCCGGAGTGCCAATCTTGTATGATGCACGAAGATTTGTACCAGCGCCTTGAGCTCCGTGACGTGTTGGTATTTTGCCTGCCGCGGAGGACCCGGCTCAGACCGCATCTTGGTGGGACTTCAGATAGTGTGAGTAAGAAGTGTTTGACAGAGCATTGTCTATGTTGAAGGCGCCGAGTTCGGCAAGTTGCCCATCTCATAAATAGACTAAATAGACTGTGTGGCAAGGCTGGAAGATGTGGATCGGGTACTGATCATGACAGTGCCAGCAAACGACGCAGCTCCATCATCATAGTGCCCAGGGGCATGGATCATGGACCGGAGATTCGACAATGCCATCAATCTCGGGTCTTGCTTCTGCAAGTGCGAAGCCCGAAAGAGCAGGCGGCTTCTCCATGCACTAGGCCTTGTCTCGATGATTCTCAATGCCTTGTAAAAAGGCCTGTATGCTGCCACGTGACGACACAGAAAACATGCGAGAGAAAATGAAGGGCGAATTGTCCAGCAGAGCATTCGGACTGCAGGCCATGCACGCTGGCTTTTCTAAGGTTGCTGATGGTTGCGTACTTCTGCTTGTGGGCCTATCGGATACGAATGAGTGCCTGCAGCTTACACATCGTCGCGTCTGCATTCGATCGTGCACTGTGTTTCGTTTTCCTGTGCAGCCCGTCCATGACTACGGCTACTTGATCCACGAATTCGATCCCTGGTCGGCTCCCCAGAATCCTCATCAAGGGCGCGGCAGAACTGGTATTTCCGGCCCAGGTTCAACTTCCGTGTCGCTCAGTACTTGTCCAAACATGGTTGGTTTAAATTCGCGAAATGGCGCTGTGCTCAGTCCGACGGGCTCACAGCATGAGTGACAGGAAGTTGGAAGTCTTTAATGCATCCATGCCAGGTATGATTACATGTCTTGGTATCCTATTGGGCGGCCCATCGGAACGACAACTTATCCCGGGATGCAGCAACTGGCTCGCATGAAGTTCATCCATGCTAGATCATCTGAATAACATGAAAGCCTTTCATTTGTCTGAGCTCCGTAGAGATAGGGGGAAGGCATGATCTGCAATAGACTCAATAGACATACACAGCCATGCACACTTGGAGGTAGTACATTGCTAAGAGAGAGCTGTTTGACCTGCTGCGTGGCGCGAGCGAGGTTTGCAAGTATCTGGATCTGGAACGCCCCGGGCTCAAATCGCCATGGATGCTCGTGGACGGCAGTATTCCCTATCGGGCATGTTTGGCATTGGGCTAAGGTTCTCAAGTCCACTCCAAAGGCACATGGTGAAGGGCAGCACTTCACATTTATCAGAGCACATTGTGGTACCCCCCCCCCCCCTGCGCCCGGCATCTGGGAATCACGGCAGATGGACATGGAGCTCCCACTGTGGTTTCTGCACTCATTCCCGAAGAGCTGGGCTCTTAGCCTGGCAGATCGCAGCTGGCCACGGGCATGACTTGTGTCCATCCGCTTTTTCAGGGTGGCGAACGTTTTTGCCTGGCCACGGGCACATGTCAGCCTGGGCTC